TGCACCGTGGGAGCGCAGTGCAAGTACTGCCACATGCCGCATGCAGATCGCCCTCCCAAGCTTGACAAGCAGCAGCGCGCGAAGTTCAACTCGATGGGCAAGCGGGACGCGCTGTTGCTGATTCAGAGTATCCTGACGATGAACGCGACAACGAATGGCTTCCTGCATCTCGCGAAGGACATCCTGGACTTGGTGGCGAAGGAGGCCATGAAGCATAATGCCGTCGAGGAGGCAAGCTCGGAATCCGCGCACCGACGTCTGGAGCGGGTGCTAGTCCGCATGCCCTTTCACCAGCTCGCCCTTCTCTCTGTCTCAAAGGCAAATCGTGCCGAGTTCGGTGAAGTCATGGTGCCATGCATCGAGAAGCTCACCGATGATCTTGAAACAGCGCGGAACATCGATTTGAAGGTTTGAGGCAGAGGAGACCCTGTTTGGCAAATGACTTGCATGGGCATTGCACAGGACGACGTGGCTTCTGCCGCTGCAAAGTGAGCTTTTTTTTGGGCCCTGCCCTTACCCGGCCATACCTGCAGGACCCCACCGTTGGAGACGGTGGCTTATGGAGGGTGCATGTCAAGAGCTGTATCTGCCTCCATGAAAGCAGTTATTGCGTCGCTGAACGTGTGATCCTGAACACTACGGCCCCACATCTTCAATATCCTAATTCCCCAAGTTGAAGGGTGCAATACCTGCATTCTCCTGCAATGTGGTTGGGATATACCGGCCAGCTTTGCCGTCTTGGCAAGAGCCGTGCAAGAGTCTCCTGTTGAGTGCAGCTGACAGACAGCCCATAGAAACGAGCAATACCTGATGGAATGGAACCGTGAGATCAGGCAATGCAGTATGGCTCACTCTGCTCGAGTACCCTAAACCCTGTAGAGTTTTTTGGGCTGTTCAGCTCGACTGCATCGATTCTTACTTTGGTTCTTGTTTCTTAATTGCTTCAACAGCCTGCGCGCGCAGTGTCTGAGATGCAGGATTGTGCGTGGCACCGGCTGGTTGAGGACCACCCTCTTTCGACGCAGTTGGCCTACTGCTAGTCGATTAGGTAACCTTTTGGGAAGTACAATGCCGATAGAATCCGGAAAGGTCTGCAATGACAGCTGTTGAAATGAGAACGGACTAGACAAGTAGGTCGGCGTCAAGTTTTTGTAAGCCTTGTGCCCGCAGGGGAGTCCGCCACGAGGGTCACAGCCTGCCGGTCAGTTAAAAGCCGCCAAAGGTTCCAAGCCCTCCTACGAGCACCGCTATTGAGAGCCAGAGGCCAGAGCTGTGACTATCTCTTCGGTGGTGACCCGGCGTCCGATCTATGTTTTGTTTTAATGAGACGTGTGTTCTTGAGAAACCTTAGCCGCCGTCTCACACAAATGGTGCCCAGCTGCCCTCATGGAATATCATGCCATTGTGTGGCCCTTTGGTGAAGC